GTTCGGAGTTGCGGCGCTGGTGCCGTCTCTAGCTGCTTCGCCTTCCTGTCTCCCAGCCTCGTTTCTCCATCTGCGAAATGGGGCAAACATCTTTTGTCTACAGAAAGCAAAAGAGAAAGGTGTGCAAAGTATCTTGGAGAGAAGCCTTTCCCTCCTCCTCCTCCTCCTCCTCCTCCGCGCCTTTGCTTAGGACTCAGGTGTTCCACTTGCTGGTTCTTGTGTCCCCTACTCTTGTCCCGCCAATGTCTTGAGGGTGGGAACTTCCTGTCTACCCTCATTTCCGAGGCATCCTCAGCACGTGGCAAAGGGCCTTGCAAATAGTAAGTGCTCCATACATGTGCACTGAGTGAAAGAATGAAAAGTGTAAGCCGTAAACATTTGCACAAGCCTCAGGGGTTCTTCTGATTGAGGGCCAGGCTGGGTCCACTTGTTTCTGCCAGACTAGCATTGACCTTGCTGCGCCTGCGGGCTGGTTCTCCCCCTTGCCTGTAGATAGTGACCACTGAACTCCCCGACCCCAGGCGGCAGGGGAGGGGCTGCTCAGTCATCCCAGTAGCAGAGATTCCGCGAACATCTGCTGTGATCTGCCCTACCACTGCAGTGGGCAAATAGTCTGGAAGGATTGGGAATGCCTGAATCGGGGTGGGGATGGGAGCCGGAGGAACAGTCCTCTGGAAGCCAGGAGACCCTCCGAGTTACCCGGCTGGGGCATTTCCCCCTTCTGCACGTGGCCTCCCTCCCCCATCTGTGAAGTGGAGCCGGAGGTGGAATAGATACGCGTTTGTGGCCGAGCATGGCGTGCTTTTTGGGTTATGCGGGCCACACGGCAGCCCTCTGGACACACGCGGACAGCCCAGCTGAGCTTTAGGACACCACATCTGCAGTGACAGCTGAAAAAGCCAAGAAGTGTTTCCTCATTTTAGCAGGGACCTCCCATCTCCAGCTGTCCTGGGGTTATGAGTCATGCTTGGGGGTTACAAGTCATGCTGCATGAAATCTCCCACACGCCGACCTCTCAGGACCTCAGAATTGTGGCTCCACTGCACAGGGGTCTGGGGAGTCCTCTTTCTGTCACAGCCAGAGAACCGCTGAGCCGTGGTGAGGTGCTGCTATAGACGCAAAACAAATTAGAGAGTGCCAGGGCCTGTGGTTGGCCTAGATACTGGGCTTTTTGGGGTGACAGACCAAGGGGTAAAGGGCAGTCACAACCTCGGACGCTTTCCCAGCCATATGCTGATCCTTTTTCTTTTTTTAAAGAACGTGCTTCTGTTTCTTCTCTGTGGATTAAAACATACGAAGGAAGGAAATGCCTCCAAGGAAAGAGAATCCTTGTATTGGTTAGTTTTACGCTGCCAGTGTTGGCAGCGGCATGGCAAATAGACACATGTATTCACACTCACAGTTTATAGGAATAAATGTTGGTGTTGCCGCTCCCATAGCCCCCCCACTCTGAACAGCCAGGTAAGCTGAACGACGTAATAATAGTCATACTTGACGTTTACTGAGTGCGTAGTATAAGCCGGGCATTATTCTAAGAATTTTACATCTATTAACTCATTTAGTCTTTACCACAGTCCTATTAGGGAGGGACCATCATTACGTCCATTTTATAGATGAGAAAACTGAGGTCCAGAGGGAGTCAGTAACTCACCCACGATCACATACGAAGTAAGCATCAGAGCTGCAGTTTGAACCCAGGCAATCTGGTTCCAGGGTCTATCCTCTAAACTTCACTGGAGTTGGGGGGGGAACCAGGGTTCAAATCTTGCCTCTGTCACTTCCATGCAAGGTGACTTGGGAGAAGTTAAGTGAGAATTTGATAGCCACTGCACTAGCAGATCACTGGGGACCCTCCCAACTCACTGGGGAAACAGAAGGTGAACCTCAAGAGAGAATGGAGACATCTAGCAGGAAAGGCTTGGAGTTAGGTAGCCAGGAAGGAAAACAGGGCAGAATTACAATTGCCTGGTGTATTAAACAACGGCAAGCCAGATTCAAGGACTGAAGTGTACCTTAAATTGCTTAGTCGTGTGTAGATAGAGCTTATTTTATTGACTTGGACTCTGACTGGCTGATTGGGTATGTGACTTGCTGGTGACCTGTACATAGGATCAGGGAACATGAAATAGAGGAGGAGAAGAAGAGACAGAGAAAACTAAACTGGGCTCCCCAAATCAGTTTTAATTAATGATGACATGGATCTGGCACAGTTGCCACTACTCCCAACCCCCTGCCCCAGGCCAAGGTTGATAACCAGTACTTTGCACCTTAACTCCGTGCTCCGGACAGCCTCAACCCACTGCTTCTGGAGCTGTCATCTTGCTCTCCCAGACATCCCACCTCATTCCTCTGGGCTGTGGTCAATGAAGTTGCAAATGGTAAAACAGAAGACCTTTCTGTTTGAGTGCCCTGGGTGGTACCTTAGGAAACACGTTGGGGCTTTTTAAAGATTAATTTTCTCTTCCCTTCACTGTTTCTGTTTTTCCTTTAAGGGTCTTCGACTGAAGACCATCGTGGAGCTGGGGACAGGGCTGTAGGGGAGGTAGTATGTCAGGAGAGCAGTCAGTCTTTGAGAGCTGGCCAGACCCTTAGAGGTCGCCTTGTCCCTCTTTTCCAATTGACAGGAAAACTGAGGCCCAGTTGGGAAGAATGACTTACTCAGGATCACACAATGTAGTGTTTTTTAATGCCACTGCAGCAAATTATCACAAATTTATTGGCTTAACAGGAACCCTGCAGATGAGAAGTTCGGTATGGGTTTCAAGAGAATAAAATCGAGGTGTCATTCTTCCTGGAGGCTCTAAGGGGAGATCAGTTTCCTGCTTATTTGAGGGTTGGCAGAATTCAGTTCCTGTGGTCGTAGGACCAAGGTCACCATTTTCTTGCTGGCTGTAAATCGAGAGCCAGCCCTTGCTCCTGGAGGCCGCTGTGTTCCTTGGCTCATAGCTCCCTTCCATCTTCAAAGCCAGCACCAGCAAATCAAGGCCTTCTCATGTCACATCTCTTCTACCTTCGTCTTCACTGTTAAAGGCTCATGTGATTGGGTTGGGTCCACCTGCATGTCCAGGATAATCTCCCGTCTCAGAGTCCTCACCTTTAGTCTCATCTGCAGAGACCCTTCTGCCTGTGTTCCCTTGGCTTCACCCTCTGAATCATGCTTCCTTTTCCACATTCAAGATTCTGGGCCCGGTATGGTGGCTCACACCTGTAATCCCAACTTTGGGAGGCCGAGGTGAGAGGATCGCTTGAGGCCAGGAGTTTGTCACCTGCCTAGGCAACATAGTGAGACTTCGTCTCTACAAAAATAAAACATTAGCTGGGCGTGGTGGCGCATGCCTGTAGTCCCAGCTGCTCGGGAGGCTGAGGCAGGAGGATCACATGTGCACAGGAGTTTGAGGTTGCAGTGAGCTATGGTCATGCCACTGTACTCTAGCCTGAGAGACAGAGCAAGACTTTGTCTCAAAAAAAAAAAAAAAAAAGATTCTGGGGATCAGGATGTGGACTGGTGGTGGACAGGCATTATTCTGCCTTCCATACGCATGAGGCCCACTTTGGGAGACTGCCCTGTTCAGGATCACACAGTGAGTCAGGGAGTTAGCACCAGGGCTCTTGCAGCTGTACGATGGAGGCGTCCTGGCAGCCCCTCTCCCGGAGCGTCTCCTTTGTGAGCCCAGCATGCATAGTCACTGGCAGATAGCAATGATGGATGGTAGTGGCTTAAACAGGATGCTGTGGATTTGGCCGGGTTTTCGTCTCTGCTGATTCCCTCTTGGTTTCCAAGACTCTGTGATTGGCTGGGTCAGATAGTACGTGCAGTCTTGAACAGCTCTGGCTGTGTTCTGATCTCTTCAAAATATCTTAGTGTTTTTCCAGTTTTCTAGCCAGAGAGGAGCAGATAGAAACTCAGGCAGGGACTAAGTCTTTAGCCTGTTAGGAATTCTGGAGAGACAGGGACTAGTTGGGGTGAAATGAGAACAGAGCGTTCCTTAGGGACCATGGGTCATCAAAGAAAGGCTTCTGATTGGATTCATTTCACATTTTTGATAGTTGCGTGTCCTGTCCAGTTTTTCCCCTGGCTCCTTCTTTGGAACAAAGGTCCCTGGTGGAATGACTCCGTGCTGGGTTGGTGAATGCTTGAGGTTAACTATTACACAAGGGGGGGGGGAGTGGGGAAGAGGACTATTTCCAAGAGTAAATGTGAGGCCGGGATGTCCTTCTCACGTTGCACTTGGCATAGGAAACCCACCTCCACTTTTATCAGCCTCCCTGCCCTCTTCCAAGAACAGAGAAAGGAAGGTTCACACCTTGGAGGACAACTGCCCCGAACCACTCCCACCTCCATGCCCAGCTCCTGAGCACAGGGAGTCAAAGCTCCCATTTGAGCTTGCCAGCCCAGGCACGTCAACAAGAGGGAATCCTAGAGGACTTTATTCTGAAAGGCCAGTCCTCCTTCGCATGGCATGTACAGGGCAGGCTGGGAAAGACTCAGGCCCCCCATAATCCTTCCCGAATGTACAGAGAACCCAGAAAATGATAGAGCTAAAGGCTGTCTTTTTATTTTGGGGACAGGGTTCTGACTTTTAGGGTCAGTGGGACTTCTGCATGGGGGAGGATTCTTTCTGCACCTCCTCCGCCAGCTAGGTCCCCCAAGTTGAGCTCACGTCGTTGGAAGTGCCCAGTCTTCATTTGTTCATGTCCTCATTGATCTTTGTTTATTGGCACTTGCGATGTGCCAGGCCCCTTGATAAACAAGAGAGATAGACGCCTGTTCTCCCCGTGCTTGCTTGCATTTGAGGGGGCAAAGGAACAGTCTTTAGCATGTTAGGGGGAAAAGCCAATAAAAACAAATAAGCAACAAATAAGCTAATTTTAGATTGTAAAAAGTATACGAAGAAAATAAAAGCCCTTGGGAGAGAGGTCATTAGGTGCCCCAGGCTGCCGGGTGTCCTGTGGGGCCTTTCTTGGAACTTGAGCTGCCCTCTCTGCGTGGTCTGAATGTCCTATTCCTCCCTGCTGCTCTCCGCAGCTCCTGCTGAGGGTGGAGCCCTAGGAAGGGGTCCTGTAAGGCGGACAATGCTGGCAGACCCTGAGTCCTGTGTCCTGGGAACCATCAACCTTCCTGTTCACTTTCTGCCAGGTACTTAAAGAGTCAGGCATCTTCCGACGCCCCCAGCAACAGTGACTCAGAGATGGTTCTAGCTGCCTCCTCTCTGGCCTCCTTGTCTACTGGAGAGGAAGCAGGGGCAGCACCAGCCCTGGGCAGTGAGGGACTAAGGCCACACCTGCAGGAAACCACCTGCCTCTATCTGCCTTTTCTCCCACTTTGGGATAATTAAGCTTGCCTGCCAGCAGGAAGTCATTTCTTTTATTGCCTTCTTCCTCAGTGAACTCCTTGGCAGTGAAACCGGTTGGATAACCATTGGAAAGCTCTCAAAAGTTAACTGTTAACCGCAGCTCAGATGTGGAGGGTGTGCATTTCCGGAGGAAGATCAAAGCTGGTGACAGACTGTTACCAGAGGCTATTTGCTTATGAAAGTGTCACTGTGGTTTCCTATGTTGGGTCACAGCACCAGAATGGCAGGGCCTCTGAACTCTTTTAATTTAGGAACTATGCTGTGAACACAGCCCTTACTGTGTACCAGGCATCGTCTTAAGTGCTTTATGTGCATTAGCTCATTTGACCTCCACAGCATCCCAATGGAGTAGTTACTGTTATTAGTTATTATTCCCATTTTACAAATGAGGAAACTGGAGCTTGAAGAGGTTAAGCCTCCTGCCAAAGCCACCAGGACTGACACACCATCTAGCTCATCACCTCTGGGCTTTGTTGATGACATCTGTTCTGCTCATCCTGCCTTTTCCCTCCTTCCATCCTTTTGCACTCCTACTTATCCTCCAAAGCCCATATCGAAGGCCCCTTTCTTTGTAGGATTATATTTTACTTAGGCAAAAACAAAGCAATGAGGATTAATGTTTTTTT